TCAACTGTTCTTGTTGCGATGTTGTCAATTCAGTTTGATTATTTAGTGGTACAAGTCTTCTTCCTGATCGTTGAACATTTCGAATAGTAAGTAATCCAAAAGTAAGCATAACTGTTGATGGACCTAAACTAAATACTAATAAATTCCATATACCACTAAATAATGGAAACGTAGTTTGAGCTGCTGGACATTTTGTGCCTGTATTTATATTTTGATATATAATTGGCACATAAAGATAAAAAATGGACACAATTATAAAGACGATTATAATAACACGATAAGTAACACGATGATTACTCCATGCTCGCACAGTAGCAGATGATGAACTGCATAAAAATCTGTAGAAAATAGAAAAATATGATAAGCTTATTCAAAATATTCTCAAAACTTCTACTGTAACTATACGACTCCATTGAGTCAAAATCTATTGAACGAATATAATTATTTTAAAGAGAGTTAAAATGAAAATCTTCGCACTGTCTAATAGCAAGAAAACGTTTTTAATCGAAAGAATGGAGATAAGCTTACGATAAAACTAATATTAGAATTTGTCAATTTCTATTTTTCTTCATTTGTAATTCTACTTACCGATCGATAGAAGCAACAGCAATATACCAAGACGTGTACACTCTAGAAGAATAAATAAAACACACTATATGACATATTTAAAAAAAAAACAAAGTCAATACTTTGAAGTTAGTGCCATAAATGAGAGAATTTTACATGATGCAGTTGAATATCCAAAAGGATTATACGCTGGATAATTTATTTGAAGATAACGCCACAGACAACTGGTCAGGATGATGTAAATACCTGTTACTGTTGCTGCTAAAAAATAACGTGTACATGGATTTGAACGAAGTGTTGGACGTGTAAATACATAAATATTCAATGAATGACCGATAGTACCAAGACATAATAATAAATAAGTCCAAATTTGGTAAAAGATCGAATTACCATAGTTTAGAGCATTAATCTCAGCAAGAGTTGCATTTGATGACGACATGGCTTTATTGAATGAATAAGAAAACTTTTACAGGGATTTTATATGTCTTTTTTATTCGATAATATCATGTAAATCAACAGTCTGGAAGAAATAATATATTTATAATTCTTTCTGCTAACCAAATGACGTTAGTTGAAACATTTTTTGCGCATGATTTTCATCAATAATGACACTATTCTATAGTCTCTTTAGAAACTGACAAAATAATCATGATCTATTCTGTAGATTTTTAGCATCATAATATCGGTTGAATGCATGATGAAAAGAAAATAATTGACATAAAATAAATATCATGTTATGAATAAAGTGAACCATGATTTTATATGACTTGATCGAGATTTATTTTCTTATCGATGATAAACATGTGGATAGAAACTGTCTATAGAAGTGACAATGATATAAATCAAAGGTGCGGAAAAGAAAACCTTTTATGAAGTATAATAATAATTCATAAACGGATATCTTTATAATTATATTAGAAATAATAAAAATTTATTTTGTTTGATTGTCAAGCATGAACATCAAAAAATAAATGGAATATAAATCTTCATATAGAAATGAAAGAAAGAAGAACATCAATTTATGCTGTCATGCCTAAAAAATAAAGAGTATGCTCTAAATATTCGATTTTATGTTTAGTCTCTAGGAACATACTTTATCCTTTTCATTCTCGATGTTTTTTTTTGGTTGAGATGACTTCGAGATATTTAACCTATTTTAATGCAAGACTTTATATATATTAGAAAAAGAAAATGAGGGCGGATGTGCGTGTGAGTGTGGGTATGTAAGAAAGAAGAAAATAATACCCACCCGCTTTTTGATATCTGTTCTTATTTTATACTCTTTATGTATTGAATAGTTCATATAATGATGTAGTACGTTGAAACGTACAAGAGGATAATCAAAACAACAAACACACCGAGAAGGAAAAAACGAAAACAAAATATATATCGAGAAGAAAATAATTGCACAGGCAGAGGTAGATAACAAAAAGAACTATGTGAAGAAGAAAAGAACCAAGAAAACAACTAGGCAAAAAAATAGGTTCAAAAAGACAGTCATAAACAGAAGACTACCTACAAGAACTTTCATATGATAATATTTAGAAAAAATCCGTTACTTCAGGTGATAAAATGTTTTCATATTGTCGATCAACTGGGAAGCCACATGTCGGAGGGGTATGTGAAATAGCTCCGCTATATATTGATAAATTCGTGCAACAAATAGGGGATGTGTTTCCCAAATGTTGGGGCACTAGAAACGAAAATTAAAAGCGGTGACTTTTCTATTGATTATTGATTGATAATACATACTTCTGGAATCACTAAATTTGGTGCACAACTCTCTGGTAAAATCCTACAAATGTCGATTTGTTTTATAATGTTTTCTAAATTGTAGTTCGTAAGATGGTAAGGCGAACAACTAAAATATATATTAACATATCTGGATTTTAACTTATTCAATTCCTCTAGGCCATATCCAAAGTTCCTCCAAATAATTATATATTCGGAATTTAAAACCTAAAATGACCCTGAATATTTTATTATAGACGATACAACGACTATATACCTTTACTAATGCATCTAGTGTTGGAAGAAAACTACGCCGTGAAATAACTATAACTGGTAATCCTAATTGTTTGGTTAATTTTAATTGATTAATAAATACTTTCTTTTGAGTATCAATACATCCAATTCAGAACTACATATAAATAGTTAGTATATAATTAAAAAATATAAGAATTACCTGCTCAAATCTATACCAATCTCACCAACACAGACTACTCGACTGTTTGATAAAGCCTTTCGTAGATTCAATAACTTCATCCAACACAACAACCCAGGGCAAAGACAACGGCGTCGTAATTCGTCGATCCAGAAATGTATAGCAATAAGGAGAAAAACGACGGCTCGTATTCTGGGTTGACGGCTTACGGTGAAAGGCGACTAAAAATAAGGCAGTAAAACGCCGTTTTATAGTCGTTTCGAGCCATTTAAGACGCCGTTCCTGACAGCCGGAATGGTTAACATGGGCGAACTTCAATGCAATTTTGAAAGATCTATTGAAAAAAGCAAAATAATATTAGTAAGCCTTGTTTTACTATATTAATACCTTATTTACTTGTTCATTTTTAGACAGCAGATCAACAACGTCCGTATTTACTTGAAATTGAGGGTGTGGGTGTGGGTGTAGGTGGGTGTGAGTGTCCGTGTGAGTGTGGGTATGAGTGGCTGTCGGTATGTTTGAAAAAGATAAACCTACACACCCACACCCACACCCCACCTCATAGCCACACGCACCTGCACCCACCCACCGACGCACCAACACCCACACCCGCACCCTGTCTTCGACTGGTGCGTGTAAGCGCGTGTTTTCAAAAACTTGACTGCCTGGGCACCGCTCTATATCCATTTCTACTTACTTACACCTTCCAAATACATGATACGAAGATAGGCAGCTTTTATCTTTTTTTTAAAATTGACAATAGTTTTCAACATATACCTGTAGATAACAAACTGAGTATATATTGACACTCACGTATGCTCGACTTCAATGCGTTGAATACTTTATAAAAAATATTTCGGTTGTTATCGTTTTATTCTGGGCAAGGACCATTACCAAACATTAATATTTTTATTACGTATACCTCAAACAGTTTAATTCTCGCATATTAGCACTAAAATTAGAAGTAAGTTTTCCATTTCATGAAACAAAAATGCTGATGTCTGTGGAATTCTTAGTGTATTATTATAAATGTTCATTCTCGGAGTATTCCCCACTGTTTTATTTGTTAGAAGGTAGACATAATCCAAGCTCCAATAGTTGGGTTTCGCATTAAAACTAATTGAATAGTTTATTCCCTTTCTCGTAGAGAAGAGTCTTACAAACATAAACTGTCTGCTTGCTTCTCTGTCCACAAAGTCAAAAAAGCATCGAAGACCAATTTCTCAAAAAAGACATTTCTAGAGGTATTTCGATGCAGGGACTTCAAATCTGATGTTAGTTTTTTAAAATTCTTTAAAAAAAGTTTTTTTTAGACAAACCAGTTTTTTACAAAAATGTTTTTTTATATAAATTTTTACGAAATGGCTTTTGAAGTCGGGGACTTCGAATCTGATGTTAGTGTTTGCAAGTTATACATGTATAAGAAAAAGGTCCCGTAGCATTGTAGAACACCATTTCTATGAGAAAGAGTTAAGCCAGTCCTTAGACGAGCGTTACTTGTTATTTAGAGTGTGTGTGTGACTGTGACTGTGGGTTTGGGCTTGGGTGTGAGTGTGATTGGTCACTCTATCTACTTCATCCACATCCACACCCTTCCACACTTACCCACCCAACCAACACCTCGTGGCGTGCTTTTGTTATGTATGAAGGTCAAAGGACACGTGACCCTTCGATCGTCTTCTTTGCAGTTCTTCATAAGAGTATGTGGCCTGATGTGGATATCGAGGATTAAGATAGTCATCACACCATCACTCACATTCACACCCACCGACTCTTACACCATATCCACAAAGAACAGAAACATTCTTTCATGATGTTTTTAGGTGCTATGTCGCTCGACACCACTACTTATCTACTCAATAATGGCTACTCGATTCAACTCTTCTGCGAGCCGAAGCATGAGCTAAAACTAAAGCTGTGCCGCAGTGGAGTTACGATAAATTGGATTTCATTAAATGATGATAAATGTTCAACGCTTACTCATCAGTTATGTGAGACCGCTCATGAATTGTATGACTTATTGGTTGACTTGTTACTGACAGCATGGTCATCTTCAGAGAAAACCACTAGCATTCAAGTGATCAATGATAAACATCTCAAAATATGTTTTCCAATACATTTTGGCAGCCAATGTCGCTGGAAATTATGGTCATTTTCTGTCGAATTTTCGCATTTTCCGCGTGAGACTAGTATTTTGCTTGAAGAGCTCTCTCTCGATCCGCTTGACTGGAGTGAAACAAGATCATTAGGTCATCAAATTATGAACGATATGATTGACTATCTACGCGATATTCGTCTTCGGCCAGTTTGGCGCCCAATGCCAGCAGAAATAAAACAAGCATTTGCACAAACTGACCTTCCTGTAAAAGGTCAATCACCTTGGCAAACCTATAACGAAGTGCATTCACTTGTTCTTCCGTATTCTTTGGGGAATGACCACCCTCATTTTTGGGGTTATGTTCCAGGTGCAGGTTCGTCAATTGGAGCTTTGGCTGAATTTATTACGGGAACTATGAATACAATGTCATGGGGCGGTCATCAGTCAAGTATTTATATGGAACGCCAAGTTTTATCATGGTTCAAAACGTTAATGGGTTTTCCTAATGATGACACATGCTCTGGCATACTTGTGAGTGGAACATCTGTGGCCACAATAATTGCGTTGGCCGTGGCTAGAAAAAGATTCCATAATCGAAATATGAAAATATACTATTCGATGGATACGCACAGCTGCCTTATCCGAGCAGCTGAACTTCTGAATATTGAAAAACACAATTTGATTGCTGTCCCGGTTAATCAACAACATCAAATCGATTTAAAAGTAATCCATAAGAAAAGAAAAACTGTCCGTTTGTAGTTATATTTCAGGCACTGAAAGACGCAATTGATCCATGTTCTTGTGGCTTTATTGTTGGAACCGCGGGTACTACTGGTACGGGTGCTATTGATGACCTTCAAGGCTTAGCAGATTTATGTGGTAGCCGTTCACAAGAACTTTGGCTTCACATCGATGGAGCCCTTGGAGCAGTCGCTTGTTGTTCATCGCGCCTAAAACCTTTGTTTGCTGGCTTAGAACGTGCAGATTCGCTTGCATTTGATTTGCATAAATGGCTTTCTGTTCCATACGAATGTGGATGTATTCTAATACGTGATGGTCACTTGCATAAATCAACATTTGTTCACCATATTGGCTCCTATTTGACATTGATGGACGGTGGATTAACACCTATTACAGGTGAACTATTCTTTAGTGATTATGGTTTAGAATTATCACGAAATATGAAATCATTGAAAGTGTGGATGACACTTAAAACATATGGATTCAAACAATTGGGTCACATCATGGAACAAAATGTCGATCAAGCAATGCATTTTGCTAATTTAATTAAACAGCATCCAAATGATCTTGAGTTACTTAACACAGTCTTACTCAACATTGTCTGCTTTCGATATGTCCCACATCATTCAAATAGGTTCGACGAACAGACAGTGAACTTATTGAATAAGAAGCTTCTGATTACCATGCAAGAACGTGGAATAGCTGTTGTTTCTCCATTTATATTCGATAATCATATATTTGCACTAAGAATGTGCATTACAAATCACCGAACAAAACTGTCTGACATGGACAGATTTGTGGAACAACTTATTGAGGTTGGTCGAGAGCTGGTAGGCACAACAGAATTTTCAATTAAAAAAAGACCTGGGTGTGAGTGAAAGTGGGTGTGTGTAGGCTTGGATGTGGGTATCATATTTAAATCAAAATCTCACCCACACCCACATTTACTTTCAAGAATTCTATTTTTTTTGATTGATTGTCATTATAGCGAATGATTTTATTAGATTCATTGTAACTGAGAGTGCGGGGTGTGGTATGGGTGTACGTGTGGGTGTGGGTAGTGTGTTGTTATTTCACACCCACAGCCATCCTCATTATTATGTATTTTATCAATATTATTACCATATTATTATTATTATTATTATTGGAAGTATTAGTAGTTTTGGTAGTATTATTATGATTATGATTATTACTGATATTTGAATAAATTGTTTTTGATAGTGTTTTGATGATGACCGCTTTAACCAACGCTATAAGGTCGAGAATTCTAGATTATTATCACATTTATTATCATATTCAGTATTATATTAGTTTATTTTATTATTACTTAAAATAAACAAAACACTAACATTTCGCTGCATTTTATTCTTATTTAGATTTAAAGCTGTATTTTGTAGGATTTTCTTTTTCAGATGAAAGAAGAAATGAACGACAAATTAAACGAAGTATTGGTAAAATGTGTACATAATTTACCAAAAAGTTTTTTCAGTTTTTCATGAAGCCATGAAAGAAAAGGTCTCGTTGTGGAGAAGGATGATAATAACGATAAATACGCGGGACGATGATTCTTGAAGCAGTATTCCGTGAATTTTCGGTGAAAATCGTCAGGAAACTCACTATTTCTGGTCGGAACCCGCTGGAAAAAGCTAGTGATCCAGTACAAGGATCTGATGGTCGGGTACGGCTGTCGGTTCCGGACAGAATCCGGCGAATAGATCCGGTCACTGGAAAACTGCTTCCATGGCATGCACGGAATACTATGGAATCGGTCGTTTCCATGCCGGATTGTTCGACATGAGTATTAGGTAAAACAATTTCAACAATATCTTTTTTAATTAAAAAATAAATATTCATTCTAGGCTGAAATTAATTGGAATGTTTATCGTGATCTTAATGAATTAGCATTCTTATACAGAAAAAATCATATTAAACTTCGATATCAGTTTTCAAAATTAAATGATAAATGTATAGTACTATTAGTAAGCCTTGTTTTACAATATTTATGATTTATTTACTTGCTCATTTTCAAGCAAGTGATCGACAACATCGTTATTCATTTGAAGTTGTCAATAATGAATATGTAGATAAGAATGGGTATATTTCTTTATTTATTATATTGTATAAATAACTTTAGAATTTTCTAGCAACTTAATCAATGATCGTATTCCTCGGTTAAAAAACTTTTTTAAGCGACGGATAAATAGTTATACATACACAATTGATGTTGTCAAAGCACAACAGCTTCATATACCACAACAACTTGGACAACAATATCAAGATAATACTAATAATAATGGTCAATATCAATATGATAATAATTATTACCCAGGACGATGATTCCTGAAGCAGTATTCCCAGAACTTCCGGTTAAAACCCTCAGGAAACTCACCGTTTCTGGCAGGAATCCTGCCCGAAAATGCCCAGAATTTGCTCCTGACATCAGTTCCGGACGGAACTGAGCGGATTTTGTCACCGGATCCGATCACCGGAATACTGCTTCCATTTTCCTATGAATTTCCCGTGTTTTCCCACGGAATGCCCAGGAAAATCACGGAATCCGGTCGTTTCCTACCGTACGTCATTGACATGGGTATAGTCATCAATCTCGTCAACCACGATAATTTATGGTTATATAATTGTTCATCAACTATATACTTTTTTTCTAGTGTTTTATGAACAGTTGCTGTTTTCTCTAAGTAAAAATAAAATTTGGAACATTTACGAGATGTTTTTTCTATTTTTTTGAATGTTACTGTTATTTTCATCTCTGTCATACGATATGTTCTTTTTGTTGTTTTTTGAATGTGGATGATTGTTGATGATGAACAAAAAAACTTAAAATATGTGCTTTATTAACAAAATCAACGGATCAATATCTAACACGAAAATGGTCATAACTATCAAGTTCGACGAATTTTAATGAAGAATTTTCATTCTCTTCTTTTTCACTGAACAATCGATTCCGAACTGCGTGTGGGTATGGGTATTCTCTTTGGATCAACAAAAAACACGACTTTATCGATTTATTTAGTACATAATGGAAACTTAGAGGATTCACTCATCATATGAAGTTATTGAGATATGTACAATCTTCTACTATCTGAAAATCATTCTTTTATTTATAAAAAAAAGATACATAAAATTCATGCTAGAAGGTTTTATCCAATACATTTTCTTATATTTTATTTGTTAAAATCATTCAAAAATTTATTTCATTGCAATAAAATAGATAATGGACTATGTAGAAACTTAATTTAGTTTATTATAAATACGTTTTGCTTCACGATGGCCACTTTCAAAAGCACTATCAACACATCCTATTGTTCCACCATAATTTGTATGTTCACCTGCCCAATGTATTCTACCATCATAACATTCTTTTGCTAATTCTTCTACAGTTTCATGTGTTGAACCAGTTTTAAAATTTGAATAAGATCCATAAGCAAATGGATCGGATCCCCATCGAGTCATTAACCATTTCGTAGGCTTTGGCATTTGTGGATAGATTGGCTGAAGACATTGAATAATTTGTTCAACTATTTGTTCATCAGTTTGTTGTTCTAATTCACGGGCTAATTTACCAGCAACGAATAAAATAAGGATATGATCCTGTGAAGCACAGCCAAAAAATCGAAAACGATTCGAAGAAATAAATATATTGTCGAGTTTTTCATCCCAAAAAGTGAACGGAAATTGAATATGTATCTTATTTAATAAGCCCACACCCATTCGGTCAATCGCATTTTGTTTCCAATCTGGTAATGCTGGTGTGAAATGTATTCCATGCTTTTTCAAACAACCAAGAGGTATAGTTATCAAAATATATTTACACATATAATGTTGCTGATCTTGAGTAGAAATACATATAGAACTATTTTTATCAATTAGAATATTGATATGAGTAACAATTCTATTTAATTGCACAGGAAGATGATTTCGTTCGACTATTCGTTCAATAAAAGAACCTAATCCAATTGGAAGTGTAAGATCACATGGTTTAATGTCATTATCTGATTTTTCAAAAGATTTAGTTGATAATTCACTAAGATTTGAAGCTTCATAATGCTCTACAAAAGCCAGGTTCATATCAACAAGACGACGCACTTTTTCATCTTGAATTTTTTCGTATTTATCACGAATAGCATCAAACATTGAGATATCCTCTTTCGTAGAGTCATATTGTTTAATATGTGCATAAAATTCTTCGACAATTTTTTCTGCTTCATTCATTGATGCTTCAGACCAAGATGTTCCATCATAATCAAAATGAGCAGTTGTTGTCGCGTCATTAAAGAATTGATAATTAAAACGATCTTTATCCGAAGGAGTATGATGTATAGAAAGTGGATTTTCTGGACGATAATGATGAATCCAACGTGCGCCTAAATCAATAGGTTCATCGGTAGCAAATGTATGTGTATCAGTATAAGCTCGACCACCAACACGATTACGTGCTTCAAGAATTAAGAAAGATGGTGTAGGTTGATACTTTTGAAGTTCCAATGCAGCAGCTATACCTGCAGGACCACAACCAATAATGATAATATCATATAGTTTATCTGATGTTGTCATTCTAACTATAGTTATTATAATTTAAAGATGAAGACAACAGAATTGGTAAACTATGGAATATAAAATTGCTAAGACATTATTTTCATTAAGAAAAATGTAGCAAGTCATTTCTTTTTCTTTTCAATATTCTCTACAAATATTGAAAATTAACAATAAAAAATAAGTCTTATATATATTCGATACTATTGTCGCTAGCATCAACGAAATCATAAATGCTGTGCTTTAATCTACTTCAATGTAGATTGTTAAATGATTTAATACAAAGACAAATCTTCAACATCTCTGATTTTTCACGCATATCTTCTCCTGTCGATCGCAATGATTAATGTGTTATACGCACATACATATATCTATATGAAAGATGATCTGTTTGTTCTAGGAAAAATAGAAAATATATTAATAAGTAGAAAAATAACAGATATTCTGACAGTAACTTTTTGTTTTGCTTTCGCTTTTCTATTATAATAATGCCAAGAAATATTTGTCAATTATATACATGCATATATTTGTATATAATTTTCCAAAAGCAAGAAGAAGTCAACACAAAAATTGTTTTCTAATGGTATGGATAGAGTATAGATTCTTTTAATTTATCACACTCTCCAGCTTTATATGTACTCGTTAGCATTTATTATATAGAAAGGTTATACGACAAAAATGTCGTTCATAGATATTACCCGTAATGAACTACCGAATCGATTATAAATATTTTAAGAAAGGAAAATGACAGGCACCCTCATATACAGTAGAAAAGTTATGTCAAGGCAAAACTAATCCCTGGAACAATTGACATATTCAATCGTTTACTTTTTTGAAATATTTTTTATATTTCTAGATCAATATTATGATTAATCAATCAGTATACATATAAATATGATACTTCATGTACACGTTACCGAATTATATTAATTCTACTGTAAATAATATAAAGAATGATAGTATGGTTATTACCATCATTCCCACATCATTATCAACCTCACCTAATCAATCTTCGAGTATTCTATTAATTTTAATATTATCTATCCTCTGTTTTTTCGGTGTTATTTTTATGCTATTTGGTCCTGTTATACGATCAGAAGCTATGAATCAAGTAGATCATTATACATATGGTCAAAATTCAGAACAAGAAAATCGCTCCATTGATAATATCTTACATATTGACAATTAAATGAATATAAACTTTTGTCAAATTTATTTTTTTATTTATAAAAAATATTATAATAATATAAATGAAT